GATTAAGAGATAGTGATGCTATGGCAGGACAAACGGGCCGTGCAGATCGAAATGCTTTCTCTTTTTAAATTCAGCCTTTCTTCTCGCAACAAAACACTTCAATATCTTCACCCGCTCCAACATTAATTGCTCTACCCCACCCCAAGCGCAGTATTATTTCCCATTACTTCAATTCCTGTGAGCAACCGGGGACTCGTTCACCCCTGGGGTTCAAGGTCCATCCGACTCTAGAAGAGGGTAAACGTGAATTTTTTTCCTGACGAATTACCGTAACAACTCAATTGCATCTCTCAATACATTCAGAGGCAATTGGCCCTTTTTCCAAGGTTTCTCGGGTCACGGTTGTGGAATTTTTGGCCACAAAATACGCAAGGTGTCCACGGGACGCCCATTGTCGATGGTCTACTGTAAACCTGAACTTCCATAACCGAAAGATTTCAGGATAACCCAGACAAAGACCTCCATGAATTTTTATTCCACGTCCACCGAATGCCTGAATTTCCACCACTAATTACTTCCTGGGACAGTGAATAATCAAATCCCGGAGTAACGAGAAAAATCTCATCCGAAGCAGTACATTAATATAAAAATACCGCGCACTCTGGGGTCTGGATCTCAGTCTCAGCTGAAAGTCACCTAAATCATTTCTTAATTGGAGAAATTTCATGCATATGTGCATAATTAATCGATGTCGCCTCTGTACAATTGCGAGTCTGTTTTAATATCTGTCTGGAGTCCTGGGATTCCCGCAAATGTGTCGATTAGTTCAAAATGAGAGTTTTACCTGACAACCTCCAGTACTTTCCTCCAATTCGGTCTAAACCGTTACGTTCTCATGAGCTACCCGACGAAGCGTGGAACCCGGTTCTTTTTTTTTCGGCAGAGACCCCAAACGAACTGTCAAACGATCCGAGACACTGTCTTTAAAAAAATCTCCCACAATGACAAGTTTCCACTGGAGGAAAAAAGAAACAAGTTCATAAAACGTAAATGAAGAGACATAACACGTGATTGTCCTATTGCATCTTCACTTTTACCGTATAACGCAAGAAAGAGAAAGAAGAGGGAAAAAACAACCAATGGGCTCAGCCAGTCGACAATTTTCGCATGTTTCCTGGCTAAAAAAAAAAAAAATCACCTCAGCAGATGTGTAAAGTGTGCGGTACGCCGTAGCGACGACGAGCCTTCACTTTGTTGTTTTGCTTTCTCTTTCGGGAGTGGCATGCTCTAGTTCACGCTCACCAAAGGCCCCATGAGTCTTCACATGTAGGTGTACGGGGATGTGCACTCTGCATAGACCATCCTGCAATTATCCACCAAATGCACCAGCTAATCATTCAATCCACTAATTGCCCTGGTCGAAATATCGACTAATCAATCAATTCGGGGCACACATCAGGGAAAACATACACTCTCAGGATCAAGTTCGCCCTTTTCTTCTGCTAATCCTCCATTATTTTGAAAATATCTTCCAAACTGAAGAAGATAACGTCACGTTTGCAATTACAACATTGTAAATGTTTCATTTGAATTCTGCTGTTTGAAGTATTTCCAAAATTTTTCAGAAACTAAGGAAAATGAAGAAATTTTTATAATCAGCTTTTTTGTTGAGCTAATTAAGGGCTAGAAAAAATGTCAGAATGAGTATTTTCATTCGGAACGTAGATTCCGAGATATTATTTAAAAACCGGGTGAATGTCAAAATGTAATTGAATCGTTTTATCACTTCGCTTCAGTGAAGATGGGATTAAGGAATATTAAATAACTGAATTCTGTTTATCGTTTTTGTATAAATATAAATATAAAGTATTCGTGAATTCCACTTCAATAACGAGTACCACAATTATCCATTGATCTCGAAATTACAATAGACAATAGAAAATTAATAGTTTTTAAGATCAATCGATATTAAACAACAACTGAGCTACTGAATTCAGGGAAAACATTGAGATTCTCACCAGGAGGTCTTGTACATAATGTGCGCTATGAAAATACAAAACAACAATAAAGTAAATTAATCAAAGTCTCTGCACCACAATTTGAACACATTTTCGACGTTAATCCCCGATTAATTACGAGTAATATCTTTTGATTTCCTTCAACAGCGGTCCCTCTGTCTGTTCGTTAATCTCAACAAAACGTTTATTACCTCGACTGAAGTAATAAATATCACCGGTGTAAATATCAAACCAAAGTGCGTGAATGTGAAGATCGTGTCGTTCCAATCGTTTCTTCAAAAATCCGTAAGACGCAACATTCTGCAGCTGTTGTAACGTATTTATCTGAAATAAAATGCATTAGCATGGGCTTGAATCCTCGAGGTAGGGGCTAATGTCTGTATTCACCTGGGAAAGTTTGTCTTCGATGGCGAATTTATCTTCAGGGTCGATGTAAGCAACGAACTTTCGCATCGGTGTTTCTGCTTGAAATATGATGGGCTGGTGGAACCCAGTGATTTCGAGCTGTTGGAACTTGGATAAACTGCTGCTGGCATGGGCACATAGCCAGGCCCTCAGCGGAGAAATCCTCCTATTCGCCTACAACCAAATTCAAAATTCAAAATCAATTGTTTCAATCAAAAATCACCGATGAAACAACTCAATGCCAACTATCACTCAGTTTTTGACAAATATCTCGGAATCCAAGCCAGTTATTCAAATATTCGTTAGAACCTTTTTGATAGGTCTCAGTACAATCCCTAAAAAAGGTCATTATGAAAATTGCGCTATCTCCTCTAAATTCGGAGATATTACTCGAATTATTATTACTCCTGGTATTCGGCTGATATTCGAACTGAATTGAATACTTGAATCGTCAGATGGACGGCGAATATTTCTCACGTACTTTGGAGGCGAACTCTTCATCCCGCAGGGCATACAGTAAATTCATAGCTTTGCAATCACTGTGACCGCAAACAATTACATGACGAATATCATTAACGACGCATCCCAGTTCCAGAGCCGCTGGTTCGCACATGGTCAATTCATCAGAAAAGTGTTGAGAGTGAGGGACAACATTTCCAGCATTTCGGACTGCAATTGAAAATAAAACATAACGTAATTACACTCATAAACTCTGAAAATTGTTTACCATGCAAAAGCCTTGGTAATTAATTAACGGCACAACGTGTCCCACGCCCAGTGCACGTGACTGCTCTAAATTTTATTCAATAATAATATTACCCCAAGAAATATTCATTAAAAAATATTACAAGTCAAAATATTATAATGTAAATATATTACTTCGCGAAAATATTAGCCCGAAAAATCGTACAAGTCGAAATATTACGGTATCATTATATTATTTTAAAAGATATTAC